TCCTGACCATGCGAGTTAACATGTGAAGGTGACAAGAAGCTGAAGAGCCAAAGGGACATATAAAGAGAGAAGTCCATTTCCTGGGTTCCAGTGGGTGTTCCTGCTATCGAAATAATGCACCGGCTTCCCTGACCTCACATTTCCAAAGAACAGAAATAAACTTGGTGTTAAATTGTAGTAGCTCCCCTGAATTACTACTGTTCTTATTGAGCTCTCCTCCTTGCACTATTTTCCTAATTTGTCTCTTTTCCTCTTACTGGAGTTTTAAGGGTTTTAATTAAGTTATTATGATAGTCTGTACATTTTCTTATGCAAATATATTACAATAATAATTTTTAAAGATGATCATTTTCTTCCTGATTATAACTCCAAGTTGAAGCTCAGGATTTGGGTTCAAATTCTAAAAGGGCTCTCTTTCTAAAATCTGAATTACCTTCACAACAAATGTGTTTTGAGCCCATACTTAACATCAAGCACTACATTAGATGCTGGGGTTACAGTAGTAAAGAAAACAGACATGTTCCCTGCCTCCTGAACCCTACAGTTGGGTAAGTGGAAGAGGCATTAGTCATACAGTCAAATAACACCTTCGAGTATAAAGCTGCAATGGTGGCAAATGCTGTGGGAAGGAGAGGTACCTGGTACTTTGAGACTGTAATGCTAGAGTTTGATTTAATCAGGCTTCTCTTAGGGACACTTGATCTGAAATGGGAAGGGTGGTTAGGAGATATCCACCAGGGGAGGTCAAGTACTACAGGCAGAGGAGACAGCATCTGCACAGTGTCCCCGGCCTACAGGGGTCAGGGAGTATGCAATGAGCTTGGAGAATTGCATAACAGCTAAGCTCTCCTTACTATCTTTATCATAAACACGACCTGAAGGCCCAGAAGAGCACGTCTTCACTGGAATACACCCTACTCATTGCGGTCTAATCCAAGGAAAGGGAGACTCATTCTGAATTCCATTTCTGACTCTCAAAATGCCTCGTTAACACCTTAACACCTCCATGGCTGTAGTTTCTGTACCTAAAACCGGTTTTATGGAGATATTTTAAGGAACAATGAGTCACAATTGCTTAGTTCTTTGAACTCCTTGGGTGAAAGATAGTATATGGCCCATAAGTGTAAAGCATTGTTATTACGTATCAGACAGAAAGCCGTCTCCAGCTAAAAAGGAACCAGCAAGATGTAAAGTATATAGAGGCTCCATCCACTTCTGTAATATTAAAGTTTGTAACCTGGGTATAAATTAAATGGGCTTAATGCTGGGGTAAGCACAGCATCTTTGATCCAAAAGCCCAGAGCACTATCCAAACATTGTCTCCTGTTCTCAAAACATCCTGTTGTTACATCATTAACACCAGCCATTATAATTCCTTCTTCCTGAGGATTACGATATTCGCAGAGTTTAATTTTCTTTCTAAAGGTCACCACCAAAATCAGTGTAAAAATCCCAGAAAGAGAATAAGCTCTTTGGGCTTATTCTACTGGTCCTATGTCTTTTCATCCAAATAAGCCACCAAAACACCTCAAAGCCAAACTATACACTACGGAACTGCGGAGATGAAAGAAGAGCTTAAATAAAACAAGCAACACACTTTTATTTCAAGGTAAATATCTCTCTCCGTCTTATCTTTAGTGCAGGGAAAATTTAGTACTTCATAATAGATTGATTTGGCTTAAGAAGAAAAGCAGAGAAAAGAGACTAGAGATGAAGGCATCCTCAGGATAGGGAATTGGGCAAAAGAGGTGAAATAGAGACAGAGAAGAGAGGGAAATTTGTAAGTTCACTTTTCCCCTTTCTTTTCAAAAGAAACCTTTCATATCACTGGCATCATCAAAACAACCTATCCCAGGGGTGGAGAGAGGGAGGGAGACAAGCAACACCCAGAGCCAGCTTATTCAGAGCCTATAAAATCATTTTCATTTCTTTCAAAATCAAAATAAACGATGTGATCTGGTATGGTGTAAATTTGCCTTTACACCAACATCGCAATAACAGACAATTTTAAGTATTTTTTTGAGATGAGAGAGGTCCACAAAAGCAAGAGTACCCGGGGCCCCTGAAAGTCAGAATGGCTCTGGAAACGCCCTAATTTAGGTATTTTGAGAAATTTGCATGATTAAGAATCCCAAAAACATTCTGGGTCACTGGCTAAAGGTTGATTTAAAATATTACATATTCGTATCACACTAAAAACATATGTATTTACAAGTTCATTTGCTTAGAGGTAAAAAGAAAGGACTTGGATGGTATTAATCCACGAAACCAATGTTCTTGGTAATGTATGTAGAATACCTTGTGAGAAACCTTCATTTCTGGTTAAGAACAGCATTATCATTTTCTTGAAAACATGAACATCATCAGTGGAGGCATGAGAGTGAAACCAGAAAAGTCAGAATCCTGCTGCCTGTCACTACCAGAACCAGTAAGTAGAGACAAGGATTGGGTCTTTGTGGCGCTTAACCATTTTAACACCTCTTTTCACACTGACCTTTTTTATCAGGCCAAGGAAAGGTAGGTAAGGGAATTGGGAAAAAGGATAATTGGAAAGGAATGTCGGATGGTGGTGATTTTCCTTGTACTTCTTTATCTGTTAATCAACAACTCAGATACCATCTGCATTCCTTATAGACCCTTGGGGCACAAAGGCTGAATTGCTGGTTGTTCCATTCCAGTTCCTGAAATAACACCTTTCCACCTGCATTAAGCACTGAAGCCTATTAACTAAGGCTAAAATCTTTACTCTTGAGTTCCCCTACAAAAAGAAAATTTCTTTAAAAAAAAAGTTTCTTGCTTCTCATGCCTTCATATCCCAGGCTGAGGTGAAAAACCCTTAAATTCTTAAATATAAGTCAAACTTTGATGTGTGGGTGTGTTAAAAAAAAAAAACAACCATTACTGATGAGAAATCTTTGGGAGGACAGATGCTATGTTACCCTGAGTTATTTACGTCTCTTTAATTATTACCTTCATAATGGGCCAGGAATCACCTTTCTGTTGGTTCAGAGGCTATATAATGAGGAGTGCTTGGTGCTTTACTAAGACAGGTGGTTGCACTATTTGACTGACTGCACTATTCGTCAGTTTGATTTGAGGATACCAAACAATCAACAATGTGTCTTCCGTACTTAAAGAGATTTTTCTATTACAGCTTCCAAGAGATCATTTCTTTTCTTTGGTTCTTATTTTGAGGGTACATTTGTTAAAAAGCTGGGTAGTGTGAAATAAGGAAGGACCTAGGGTAGAAGAAGTGACAGGAGTAAACTTAGGCAAGGCTTCTTTGGCTCTCTAGAAACGTCATAGCAAAGAGGTGAGCCAAGGCAGGGCTGCTGCTGGCTCACTGGGGCGTCAGCGAAAAGGGACCTTGGGGACAGGTTCAGGGGAGTAGTCTGGGACAGCTGTTGCTGCCCATTGCTCCCCTGGTTGCAAGTGTCTTGGGGTCCCTTGGAGTTTAGGAGATATATGCCTGTGGGGGAAGGGAAGGGCGCAGGCCTGCTCCCTGGAGGGAAAGTGCTGAAACATACTCTCTAAACTGAAAATAGCTACAAAATTTTATTAAAGTGTCATCAAGAAGTTTCAGACAACTGCATAATTTTAGCTACCGTTTATACGAAGTAGTCACAAACCTAAGTCCAAAGATGACTCTATGAAACTAATTTGTGTTCAGTAATATGAAGTACAAAACATGAATGTTCTAAAATTCACATTTTAAAAGTACATTCTGAAACAATAAATTAAGCTGTGGCCGAGTAGCTAAGTTGGTTGGAGCGTCATCCCCATATGCCAAGGTTATGGGTTCGATTCCAGGTCAGGGCACATACAAGAAAGAATCAACCAAGGAATGCATAAATAATGATACAATCAATGGTACAACAAATCAATGTTTCTCTTTCTCTCTCTCTCTCCCCTTTCCTATCCCCCTAAAATCAAAAAATAAAAAATAATTAAGAGAAATTAAGATGTAATAATTTGTGAGTTATTGCATGAATATATAAATACTTTCTATAATATAGCAATCTGTTAATATGGGGGCTGGTCAAACTAGGCTTACAGTTGTGAGTTTGTGAAACAGAGTTTATTCTTGTACTACTATTTTATTTTATTAATTATTGTATTTTCCATATGAACAACTGTAAAGCTACTTTTGACCACCCCGTATATGAACTGAATATATGCAATTCAACAAATACTAGGGAACCTGCTACAATGGACTGTGCTTCCAAGACTGACAAAGATAAATGATGTGCCTTTTTGGCCTTCTAGAAATACTCAGAATAACAGAAGTGTTGGAGAGCTATGGAAATATTTACCACAAAAGGAGGCAAAGGGTAAGATTGTTTTATTTCTAAAGTACCAGAAGAAAGGAGATTAAGGTGAAAATCCCTCTAAGTGAGTCCTAAAGATTTCCTCTAGTAAGTGGTTGAGATGATCCTGAAGTTTGGGTTTAATTTCCCCCCAGGGGAGGAGACACTCCGGGTGGCGTGGCGGCACCTTCCTAACAAACGTGTGGTGCTGTGAAGTGATTAACACTAGAAAAGTTTTTCATAAAACTGTCTGAAATAGATAGGAACAACTAATGCTTCATTAGAGAACTTCATAAAGTATAATACAGTAAGTAAAAATTCAAGTTCCAAATATTTTGTACCGCCAATCATACCCAGTAGAATACCGGTGTCCTCAACCGCTAGGAAGTCCCTAGCGGTTACTGTCCCCTTTTCCTGAAATCAGGGTTTGTGGAGTGGGGCTCAGGTATTGGTATTTTGTAAAAGTTATCCAAATAATTTTAATAGGCAGCGGGGTTTGCAAACGATCAGGCTAAATTGCGGTTGGGCAATGTTGATCTTCCTGATAACTGACTTCTCTTTTCTAGTTCGGCTCCCACTTTACTACTTACTTACTATTGTAGCAGACGCAAGGTGCCAAGCATTCTTTTCTGCATTATCTCATCTAATTTTCATAACTACCTCTGAGGCAGGCGCTATTTCTAAGTAACTTACCCAGTTACTGCCCCATTTCGGAGCCCGGGAAAACACCCACCGCACAACGCTGCTTCTCCCCTGAAGTTCATTCGCGGCTCGGATCTGTTGGGAACGCCCAGGTCTCAGCAGCTAGAAATAAACGTTACCTGAAAAGAGCAACTGAGATCAAGCGGCAAAATGACATAAGATGACATAAAACAGGCTCCAAAAGGCTAAAGGGGCCTGGCTGGGTGGACCCGGCGACTCACGATCTCTTATTCCCCAGTCCAAAAAAAAAACCTGGCCCCCCAAACTTTAACCATCTTCGGCCAATTCCAGGGCTAGAATAACCTTTAAATACAAGGCAGGGAAAGCCAGTGCAGGTATTTTCCCCCAATCCGTAGCTGAAGTTGAGAGGTTCAATCATCACTGGAAATGGAGAAATGCCTTTTAGAGCTTTCTCTATCAGCACCCCCGCCTCAAAGAGTTGGAAGCAAATGCCCGGGCTGCCAATTCACTTTCCCGGGGTCCCTGGCGGGAGCTCTGGTCCCTGCAGCAAACCGCCAGAGGAAGGACGCGTTTCCCGCGGCGCTCGACCGGCTCCCAAGGGAGGGTGAGTGCGGGCGGGGTCGAAAGCAAAACCAGCCCAGCGGGTCCCCGGGCAGGCCGGCGAGTCTAGTCCGGTGTCGCCCCCCGAAGCAAGGGCGCACAGTTAGTGGTCTGGGGGAGGGGCTGGCCGGGTCCCCGGACGCGGGTCCCCGTTTATCCGAACGCACGGAGGCGGGCACCGCAGCTCGGGGTTGCGCAGCGGGCCGCCCGCGCTCCTCTCCACCCCGCGCGGCGCGCCCCGGAGTCCGGGCTGCGAGGGTCGGGCTCAGCCCGCGCGGCGCCCTGCGCCCGGTTGCCATGTCAACCCCACGCGCCCGGCGGAGCCCTGGGGTGCGGCGGGACTCCGCCACCGCCGGAAGTGACGATTTCACCTGCCGAGCGGGGCGGGGTGAGGCTGCGGTGCAGAGGTGCGGCCGCTGGCAGCCGGGCCGGAGCGCGCCGGGCGCCGGGAGACGCGGACTCCGGGCGAGAGCCCCCCACCTGCAGTCGCCGCCCGCGGCCGCGCCGCCACCATGGCGCTTCTGCTGCGCTTCCTGCTCCTGTGCGGAGCCGCCGGTGAGTGGAGGCGATGCGGTCCCCAGTGTCCCCACCGCCCGGCCACCCCCCGGGCGCTGGCTGCCTGCAGCCACCCGGGAACAATGCGGCGTGGGGGAGGGGGCGGGCGCGACTTGGGGTCGCTGCGGCGGTGGCGGCCGGGCGGGCGGATTTGCAGGGTGGGTTTGCCCGGCTGGGTGCGAGAGCCGAGAAGGTGGAGGAAGCCGTGCGGGGGCGCGGGGCGTTTCGGGCGGGGAAGGTCGGCGGAGCGCGGGGCTGAGCCCCGGGATGAGGGGCGCGGTGGGTGGGCGCGGCGTGCGGGGTCTGCGCCCGCGGTTGCCCCTGCTCCGTTCTCCGCCGCCAGTTCGGGCTTTTGCTTTATTTGCTCTCGCCCGGCCCCTGTTAGCAGCCGCGCGGAGCCCGTGCAGGGCTGGCCGATTTCAGAAGCCTTGAGCGGCGAGTTTTCAGGTGTGGAGCCGTCCAAGCGGGGAGACTGAATTACAAACGCCATGATTAAATGGTCACTGAGCCCGAGACCGTCCAAGCCACCTCTAGGAAAGAGGCGCTGAGCGAACGGCGCCCGAACGTTCCCCGTCTGGCCGGGGAGGCGAGCCAGCCTGAAACTGGGCGGTGACTCAGAGAAGTAGAGCTTATCAAAAGCAGGTCCCTGCAAAACTGCGGTATTGATTGGCGCAGTCCCGGGGCAAAGTGCGGGGGGAAATCGGTCACCCCGAGGAGGTCGTTCATTTGGGAGACTGGTATAGGGTAATTTCTAAAGGGATAGCCAAGGAGTACGTTTCTCTGTTGTGCCTTTATTAGAAGGGAAAAGGGGGCATTTTAAAAATCTGTGGAACATTATTAGGAAACATAATCATTTCATGTTCTTAAAAATCAGATCCATTTCCTTGTCAGTTTTTTAAACAACTGATGTTTTGTCAAAATAAGGATTTGCCTCATCTAATAACCAAATGATTCATTTTTTTAAAAAATACCCCTAAGTGGGACCCTAGGAGGCACACAGTAGCCCGCAGAAGGATCATTTTTTTAAGCGCTCTAAGGCAGGGTCAGGCCCTTTCCGTTGGGGTGATACTCTCCTTCCTGTTGAAATGGCAATGCCTTTGTTGGGCGCCACAGCTGCGAGCCTCACTCACGGGGACCCACGTTCTATTACCAAGTCTAATCATCAGTCTGAGTCTATGGCGCTCCCTTCACCTTTTTGATACATTGTGATTTAGACTTGGCTGAAATTTCCAAATCAATCTTCTGGAGAAGACGAAGGGTCAGCAACCAATTCACACGGCACGTTCCCGATTCTGTTTTGTCAAGGACTAACACGAAGTTTGTGTCCTCTATGGAAAGAAGTCTTTTTGGCTGCATCTGAACCTCAGAAGTGGAAGAACATAAACCATGAAGAGGGATTTTTTTCTAGGAATATTGGGATAGCAGTCTGGATTGTTCTGGATGCCTCACTTTGGTAGGCATAGTCTCAACCAAGGACATCTTGATTCTTAGTTACGCTGCTCATCAAGTGTACAGCAGGGTACAGTGTACATCTCGCTGCAGGTCCGCTGTCTTTAGCTGAACAAGACAACTATTTTTAATTTTCCAGCTAGGTAGATGACTCAGAACCTATGTGATTAATACATGGTTCTGACTATTTTTTCCTGCCACTCCTTGCCCCTTTAGAAATCTGTTGCTGTGAACTCCAGTTGAGTGGTGTCATGACCCTACAATTGGCAAAACAAGGTGGGGGGGCTTACATAGTTTAAAAATTGCAGTGCTATCAGTGGTAGAGCTTCCTCTAGAGCTGGCTCTGTGTAGGTTGTAACGAGGTTTTGGCAAACTGTTGTTGCTGGTAGAACTCTTTCTGATGCATTTTCATTGCCAACCGAGTAGCAAGTCATACTACAGTGCTAGTAATGGTGGAGGCAGTAGTAGTAGAGCATTAGCAATGGTAGTAAAAGTAAAGCCTTGATTCAGCAGTTATTAAATACCAGGCATTGTTCTAGGGGGTTTTACATATACTCAATCCACCTAGCAACCATTGTACAGAGGGGAAACTGAGGCACAGAGTAGTTCTATAACTTGCCAAGATCACAGATGCCCTCCTTAATCCTTGCTCTTATAACTATGCTTGTCTGGCTCAAAAGCAGCCGTCTGTAGTCTTTGATTACCTCTAACCCACATCCTAAATTTCTGTTACTGGTTATGAGTCATTTATTTGGCATGGCTGTGTGCCACGTACCGAAGTTTTTATTATTAGCCTTCTAAATCCCTTATCTTCGTTGAAACCAGGAGGATCCCGGTGCTGTAACAGACTAATGTGGCTCATGTACTGGCGGTGGCAGCAGCTGGGATCTTGTTAAAGTTTGGGTTGCTGCTATTTTTTCACACCGTTAACATGAGTGGAACTAAAAATGTCCTGGCCACTTGTTCAGCCAGTTGACGGCAGCAGGCCCCTGTCTTCTCTGTGTGCCTCAGTTGCGTTATGTGTCAAGAATGAGGATCCTGCTGTCTCAGACTTGTTGAGAAACAATGTGAGATGTTAATCCTTCTGTTTTGCTGGAGTCTTTTCATTCATGTATGTATATTGAAGATTATCAGATGTGAACTTTATCCTTCCACATACCCCTCTCTTAATATTTACATTCCTGCCATTATACCGACCACCGGAGCAAAAGTTGCCCTCCTCCAAGGCAAGCCACCCTCTATTGGCTCCTGAACCCATCTGTTGTGGCGTCTCCATCAATTACTCCACCTATCTCATTGCACCAGGTCAGGGGGCAGGGGCATCGCCTGTGTTGTTTATTGTTACCGTCCCAGTCAGTGTTAGCTCCTGGCACGAGGCGGATAGCTAAGTGTTCAGCAAGTGTTGCCGACTGAAAGTTTTCAGCCACTTTGCCAGTCGGCCCACGTGTATGATGTAGCTCTTGTCCGTTCCATTTCGGTTTTTGGAGGGGTCATTTCACTAGACCTGCCTCATTCAGTTGTTAGTCTGAAGGAGTGCAGCATCTGCTTTTATCTCTGGCCTCATTGTTCTGTTCCACACCCTCCCCGCCTCGCTTCAGTTGCCAAAAGTAATGATAATATGTGCCAGATCCGTTTGTTTGTAGGAGCTCCTCGACACCTACTGTGGCTCTTTCCCACCCTGTTAACCTGTGTTACACCACCTTCTACATTAGGACCCTTCATTGTCAGCCTTCCCCATGATTTGGCTCATAGTCCTCTTCTCAGTCTCTGTCTTAAAACTGGGTGACCTTGCCTGTTCATTGCTCTACCCTCCAAATCGTTGCTAGTGACTTAAAAAGGTCGCAGCTCAGGCCATCTTCCCTTTGACACGATGGGCCTTTATTTTCAACTGCTTAACGTGCAACTTCTAGCTGAGTGCACTTCAGTACCTCAGGCTCATCAGTTAATTAATATATTAAGTGAACCAATCCTTCACATATTTACAGCCTCCTATTTACTGGACTTGCACTAGGGGCTCTTAACATTAGTGTAGGACTGCTAGGTGCAGGTTTGATGCTCCCAGCAGAAGGTGCAGCTCTTAAAAAGTCAGAGATCTGAAAGGGTGTGATGTCCCTTGGGAGTCGAAAAATTCAGTGCATACAAGTATAAAGCATCTGTCCAGCACTTCTCAAACTTCTGATGTGCACTGGAGTCCTTCCTAGAAGGAAATGTGGGGTGGGGCCTGAGATTGGACATTTTAACAGTTCCTTGTGATCACTGCTGAGCACACTTTCGGTGGGCAAAGATCTAGAGGCTGTCCCAAGAGCTTATAAGGGGATGAGAAATGATAGACATCTGTCCAGTTGAAGTGCTCTGCCCCCTCCCCCACAGTGCCACCAAGAAGTGAGGTTACACCCTGATACCATTGTCTTGAATGAGGCAGAACTGATGGGTCTAATGCAGGCCTCCGTCTGGGATGAGCTGGACAAGGACAGTTTCTGTTGAAACACAGCAGAGTGGTGTTGGGCTTCCTCTTTGATCTGGAAAGTTGTTCTGAGGGAGATGCAGTCGAACCTGATAGCTGACTGGTTGAATGAGTGGCAAGAAAAAGTTGGAGAGAAGCCATAGGATTTTTGGCTTGAATGAATGGGGGTGTCACCAACCTACAGGGGATAAAGCAAAGAGGAACAAGTTTTAGAGAGGTGACAATAAGCTTCAAGCTTAAACAGGTCGTATTTGAGGTGCCTGAGGGGATTGAAGGTGGAAATATCCAGTGAAGGAGATTTAAACCAAGGACTGAGTCCAGGAGAAAGACAAGGATCTGTGATACAGAATCGAGAGTCACTGGTGAGATAGATAGCATCTATGTAAGGTTGACCAGGACAAGCCAGAAGGACTAAAAGTGGAGGAAATGTGCCCCTGGGGAACAGCCACATCCAGCAAGTAAACAGAAGGTGAGCCACAGAGAACCGAAGGGTGAGGGGATCTCAGACAACTCACACGGAAATGAGGCCAGTGGGTCTTCCCGCTGGGAGATTGTTACAAAAAATCGGGACATTTGTTACTTCCGTAGGGAAGACAGTTTTGGCGGCAGTGAGAGTGAAGCTGGGTTATAGTAGATTTAGGAGGGGGCATCTGGTAAGTGGAGAGTGAAGTGCACTGTGTGTGCACTTGCAGTTGTGCGGACAATGATGCTTTGCTCATAGGGCCGTAAGTAACTCCAGGGGCAGAAGCAGACCCAGGGGAGAATGTAGAAGCCAGCAGGTAGGGACTCATTCAGCTTCCAGCCACCCAGGCCTAGAACCTTGTTCCTCATTTCTCTCTGTGGGCCCAGTTTCCTCCATTTACCCAAATGTTGGGGTTTCTCACTGTATGCTTTCAGCTGCCACTTAAGTCCTTACAGCCTCCAGTCTGTCTCTGGTCTGTTCTCCAAGCTTTGCCCATAGTTTCCAACAGCCCATGGTTTCTAACCTCTGTTTAGACTTTGAACAGGCACCTCTAGTTAAACCTGTCTGCATCCCACTGTCGCCTCTCACATTAAATGGCATTTCATTCACCAAAATGCCCAGGCA